AATAAACCTTAAATCAAATATTGTTTTATAGAATCAAAAGGTTACTAGGAATTCAGTTTGGCGAGTTGAACCAAATTTATCGTAGCCCATCTTCCATTTTGCGTGAATCAATAAGCTGAAATGAGGAGGCTTTTTTTACGCGCCAACCGGTTTAGAGATTCGATTTTAAAGACTTAACAAAAGTAAATTATCTGGAGTCATAAAGTTTTTGTAATCAATCACCTATAGATGAAAAATATAGAACCCCATAAACTAAACCCACCTAAACATCATCACTATGTCATAATTAGGCAACCTATAAAGAATCCTAAATTTCTTTACACGATCAAGAGACATGCAACATTCGAACAAGTAAAGAACACATAGTTAAAAAGATTGAAGAATTTGTTTATCAAAAAAAGATTGAAGAATTTTGGAGAACACATAGTTAAGAGTTACCTTTAAGTCTTATGCTTTGTCCCCGAGGAATTAGAGAGATAGAGAGAGGGAGACGGATTTGTCCCCGAAGAATTTTCTGTTTTATCTTCTTACTTTGTGTTGTGTAATTGTGACTATTTGCTTTTTTTGAGCAATAATGATTGTGTTTATATTATAAGTTTATTTAGCATAGCATTCGTGTCCACACAAACGAATAATATTAAAATTTGTGGACAGAAGAAGTAATGTAAAACAAGTAAAACAAGTACTGATAGATGGCTACAAAAAAAAGGTGGGTAACGAAGACGATTGAAGTTTACTTGTGGGAAACCAATTGTATAATAAATTCTATTTCGTGTCAATGAAATAAAATTTACAAAAATTCAAAATTCTTAGAGAAATTATTTATTGATTTAATTTAAGTTTAAATTTTTAAATAACAAAGTACCATAGTTTGAGTTTGGGTTCTTTTACCAAACTTCCACTAAAATCTAAAATTTACAAATATGAAGAGTATATATATTTTTTCTTTATAGTTCATGTTATTTAACTGATGATTTGAAATGTGTTTATTGCCATGTAATATGCGACTTTGAATTGGGATAGTAACAAATCTGTGACAGTAGCTTTAATCACTAATCATATGTTTTTGTTAAAGGACTTCCAAATCACTAATGACGTCTTCTCAAATGTATTGTTAGGGAACTTGAAATTTTTCAAATTTAATTTTAAATCTATCGTTATACGATTAATTATATGAAAATTCATAGAAAAGATTATGCTAATAGGAATATAGCAATTTGAGAAAACATCTTATGAAAAACTATTTTGTGAAACTTCGAATATATATATATATATATTGTTATTTTCTTAAATAGACATATATAATTAAACATGAAATTTGAAGTGACTGACTTCAAACATATTAAAAATATGAAATCTCCCCATTTTTTCAACATAAAAACTCCTTCATGCCTCGTCATCGTCGGATTGCATCGTATTGATCTCATGGTTGTCTCCGTCCTTCATCTTGACTATTCGTTGGTCTCATGTTTCTCTTAATGTCCGGTCAGTGCCGTGCTTAATGGGAAGAGGAAAGGGCATTTACCCATGGCCACAAAAAAAAATTTGAATTTCGTAGGTCACATATTTTTTTTAGGCTTATGTATATAAGTTGTATAGTGGGTATTTGTTTTAGAAGCCCATGACACTAGAATAATATCAATACGTATACGTTATGTATTAGGAAATTTCTGCACATGCTTTAGACTTTAGTTTATAAATATAACACTAATGAGAGAGAATTTTAATTAAAGATAACTAAGAATAAAGAAAATCTGTTTTGGAATAATCTGCATATTTAAAAGAAAAAAAATAAGGAAATTGATTTTGAGTATTCCTTCTTCAAATAATTATCAATCGACCACTTAAAAATATAAAAATAAAAAAACAAAATTAGTTGTAGGGTTAACAAACCTAAGGTTTTCCATGCCATAAGCGAAACTGAAAATATAATTCAATGTTTAAATAATAATTTATAACACATATAAATCTTAAATATTTTTAAAATATAACACAACTTCTATGCGAAATAATTCATAAGATCATTTGTTAAAAACAAATTACAAAAAAAAACTGTTATAATTTTTTTTATCTAGTGGTTTACGATAATACCGTTGCTGTGTTATCATAATGCATGTTACTAAAAAAACTAGAATAAAAACGAGGATATAACAAATACGGTATATAATTAAAAAATTGTATTTTTAAATGGTAAAATAAGTATTGAACAAAAATAAATTGGATAAAACGACTAACTAAAAGAATTTGGTAACAAATAAGAAATTTAGTTTGACAATTGACCTCTAACTATGCTTTCTTACAAATTTCAGAAGATGCCTACCGTACCAATAAGAAAAAAAAGTGAATGATTATGTGAATTTAGTGAATGATTTTTTACGCTATCATATCTATAAAGAGGGAATTGGTTCGACAACTCGATTATGTGAGTTTCGTGAATGATTTTTAGGAAAAAAGGATAGAAAAATAGTGGTTAAGAAATTTTCTTTTCTTTCATCTTATCACTATTGTGTATGCTTTGAAACAATATTTTCGTTATTTTGAATATATAGATCTAATATTGTCCTTAGCACGGCACTGTGTCCGGTTAAGCTCTGATTCTCACTTTAATCTCTTGTTCGATCTTTCTACTATTACTGCATTTAGTATTTAAAATTTTAAAGTCTCTTATTAACAAATTATTGACTTTAATCCTACACATTATGTGCTGTGAAACAGTCTTCTTTCACAGTTGTATGGGAAGGAGAAATTGTGACAAATAAACCAAGAATTTGGTTCATCAAACTCTCCGTAATCAGTAAATAATTTGTTTATTTGGGTTCTAAATTAAGATACCTTAAATTTTACTCTACAAGACAAGTAAAGTGAATATATAGATCTATAGGATTTTTTTCGAGAAAGAATAAACCTATATGAAATTTTCATCTCTAAACCGCATCACTGGTTGATGAGAGTCGCTTTTCTCCAAGTAATCTCTTAATTATCAATCCATCAACTTCATCAAATCTCAAACTTCCTCTATGTCCTTTGCTTCGTTTCTTATAACTGAACCCACCTTCAAGCTTCATCATTTATCACCACTTTCTTTTTCAATATCTCTTGTTCTCTCTTTGTATAGAATTGTGAAATCCAAACTTAAAATCATGGTTCAACCATTTTTAATGTACGTTAACAAGATGTTCGGATTTTGTGTATTTTCTTTAATTTGAAAATATTTAGCATACTTTTATATACATTGTTATTGAGTTAGGAGAGTAACGCCCCAAGCGAATGTCTCATATTTGCCATATAACGAGAGAATCCCTAACCACATTAATTTAGACTAGTTTAAAACAATAGCAATGTTTATTAAAAGTTGAGGTTAAGCTACCAAAGAAAATGAGCTAAAAGTTTATGCATCAAACAAATTCCTTATTGATCATAAATTATAATGATAATACCTTTAAGATGCTTCCAAAGGATTACATTTTGAACTATGATAATATAAAATCAAGTCCATTGGGTAAGGACCGGGATAAGCTGAAGTGGGACTTTCTTAGGACATACAAGTCCATATGATTCTTCAAGATCAACATCTTCAACCTCCATTCCTTCTGGAAGCTTCCAATCGAATCGGTAAAGAAGATTAATAAGAGTCAAGTGTATCAAAGCCATACCCATTCCCATACCAGGGCACATTCTCCTTCCACTACCAAATGGCAACAACTCAAAGTCTAGACCTTTGTAGTCAATGTCGCTATCCATAAACCTCTCGGGGATGAAAGCTTCTGGATCTTTCCAAACGTTTGGATTCCTCTGAAGAGCCCATATGTTGACATAAATCCATGTTTTCTTTGGTATGTCATAGCCTCCAATCTCTATATCTTTTGAAGCCTCTCTTGGAATCAGAAGTGGCGCAAGTGGGTTTATCCTTAATGTTTCTTTAATCACCAATTTCAAATACTCGAGTCGTTCTATATCTTCTTCTGTGATATCATCTTTGTTTTTGATCACTTCTCTCACCTCGGCCTGCGCTTTCTTGAGAATTCTTGGGTTTTTAATCAAATGTGTCATCACCCATGTCATGACTTGTGCAGAAGTGTCTATTCCAGCATTAAGAATATTCTGTAATAATCAAAGTCAGTACATATTTTTACAAAGAATGAAAGTAAATTCTAGATTGAGAGGTTCACATTACTTACGGCAAGAATTCCTTTGGTGTGGTCTCGAGTAAGTTGAAACTCCCCAAGTCCAATCTCTCCCCTTTCCATCTTGAGGAGCAAGTCAATGATATCATCTTTAATACTCTCATCTTCTAGGTGATGCTTTATAGATTGATCAAAAAATGCATCCATTGCCTTGAAATTCTTCTCACATTTGCTATGTAACCCTGTGATCCTATCGATAATGCTACCAATGACCGGGAAGTAATCTGCTGCTGCGAAACTCCCCACCACCTCTATAGTTCCTTGAATGACTTCCTCATAAGTATTCTCAAGTTTACTTCCTTTAAGATTGATACCAAATGCAACTCTACAAATCACACTTCCTGATAGTTTCATTAACTTATTGTTCAAGTTAACCGGTTTCTCCAATGACGCAGCTTGTTTGAAGAAATCAACGAGGGAAGCAACTTCTTCTTTTCTTGTGTGTTGAAATGATTTCACTCTTTTTGCGGTGTAGAGTTCAACAACTGTCATCTTTCGTACCTCTCTCCAATATTTGCTATAGGGAGAAAAAGCGAGATCTTTTAAATTGTATGTAAATCTTGCAGGATAAGTCATATATGGTCGCGAACAACATTCTGTGTCAAATGTTTTTAAGACTTCCTTCACAATCTCTGGTGTAGATGCCACAACAGTAGACACATTCCCAAACTTCAAAGACATTAACGATCCATACTTTTCGGATAATTTGAACATCGAGCGATGAGGTTTAGATCCCAGTTGGTGCAAGTTACCAATTATAGGAAGTCTTGGTGGTCCAGGAGGTAGATTCGTCTTTGTCGTTCTCGTGTTCCTTACAATGATTATAGAAGAAAAGAAGACGAAGGCAACAATGATATACCACAAACTCATTTTGCTTCCTACACAAAACAGGGATAGGATATGCAAAGTAAATTAATTTCAAGTTGGATCAATTGATAGTTGACAATCCTAAAAGAAATATGAATTTATAGCATGCTTAGTGGATCATTTAACCCCAAACAGAAAAAAAGAAAAAGAGTATGGGTTTCATTAGTTGGGATTGGGGCAATATATTCTTATTTTAAAATGTTTGACTTAAAAGAAGAAAAAATTTCTAGAGTCTTCAAGTTTTTGTAACCAATCACCCATAGATGAAAATAAACTAAAACCACCAAAGCATCACCATTGTGTCGTAATTAGGCAACCTATGAAGAATCCTAAATTTTCAACACGATCAAGGTACATGCAACATTCGAACAAGTAAAGAACACATATAGTTAGAAGTATTCGAGAATTTAAGAGTTTCTTCTACAATTGAAACATCAGAGAGGCCGAGATCGGTAGGATTACCTTCAAGTCTTATGCTTTGTGCCGAAGAATGAGAGAGGGAGAGATGGATAGAAGGAGATATGGGTAGAAGGAGGGATATTATATTTCGTGTTGTGGGTATTTTTTTTTTTTTTTTTTACTTTGAGCAATAATTGTGACGAATTCATATTTAATTATCAATACATCATTTGGCGCTGAGATGACGTTTGAATTAAATAAGCTTGCACTAGAAAATATTGACATTTGAACTCTATTTTTAGGGTAATTAATATATTCAAGTATGTAGAGAAAATGAAATTTAGAATTGGACAAGAGTAATTAATATAAGTAATTCCAAAAAAAAAGGCAGGTAATTCGTATATTAATTGGAAAAATTCAAAAAATGTGGGTAGCATGGAATGCTTCATGATAAGTTTATTTAATAAAGAATAATATTTGTGTCCACACAAACGAATAATGCCAACATTTTTCAAGATAATGTAATGTATACTCGTTTAAATACATGTGTATCAAAAGTTTGAATCGTGGCAGCAAAATATATGGTGTATAAGTATAATAAACAATCAATAATATAAGTGTGGTTTAGTGACTTAAAACAAGAGCATAATGAGTAAAAGTTTATGCTTTAGCTGCGCTTCAAAAATTCTAGTTTTTATGCATTTATTCCTTTATAATTTTTTTAAAAAAAACTTTAGTTTATTAATTAACATATGTATTTGCTGTTTATAGTCATAATGTCGGGTTTGAGTCTATAATTGAATCTTTATAGCTTGTGGACAGAAGAAGTAGTAGTGTAAGCAAGTAAAACAAAAATTGCATGATGAATGCAAAAAAATGGTGCGTGACAATTGAAGTTGACTGGTGGGAGAAGAGTTGCATATAAGAGCCCACTCAATCTAAAAGCCTTTTATTATCATTAGAATATCTTTGAAGATTATAAGAGCCCACTTAATCTAAAAGCCTTTTATTATCATTAAAATATCTTTGAACTTCATTAAAAAGCCCACCAATTCTTAAATCCACCAAACTAATCAAAATCCTTAATGCAATACACCCCTAGATGATTAAGAAACTAACTAATTTTTTTTTTTTTTTTAGGTTCATCATAAAGTTAAAGTTTGTAATGTTTTTGTATCTTTTTCCAAAAGTTTTAGTATCTCTTAAGCTAAATATTTTTTAATGATATTTTAGGATCTTTCTGTAAATATATTTGATTTGTGTAAGTTGTTTATGTTTTTACTGGCCATTGTTTAATAAGTCCAGATATGTTTTGTAAATATTTTACTAGTCATGTAGTTAACTCAAAAAAAAAATCTATTTATGTAGTGTTTATTTAGTTTATGTAAGTTTCTAAATATGCAAACAGGGTCGACCCATGGCTTAAGCCCAACAAGCAAATGTTTTACGCAATAAAGTTTATAAATAATTTTAGGTTGATATGGGCACAAGGCAAGTACTTGCTAATTTTCAAGTACTTGTGACCCGCCTTGGCCCGTTCAAGCAAGTACTCGTCCAAAATCTGATTACTTGCAAGTAACTTGACTCGCTTTGTTACTTGCAAGTAACTTGACTCGCTTTGTTACTTGCAAAATAATTTGATTCGGCTTGTTACTTGTAAGAGACTTGCTACTTGAACTAAAATACTTGAATATAAGAACAATCTCATACAATACAAATTTCAAAACATTCAAAGTTTTCATTTTTTATCTTTTCAATTTTGGTTTTTGTAAGTTAATATAAATTCAAATAAGTTATTAAAACTTTTTCTATATCAAAGCAAGTAACGAGTCAAACAAGTTGAATAATGATTTTTTTTTAAGACTTGATATTTGGCTTGTACTTGCAAGTAATAAAATTTTGAAACTTGTTACCCGGCTTGCTAACGACAAATACTTGTTTTTTCAAAGCGAGTATGAGGCAAGTAACGGATATGAGACACGTAACGAGTATTTATGTCTAGCCTAATTTTAGGGGCATCACCTCCCTAACTCAGGTTCGAGTCCCTTCTCTTTTTTTCTTCTCAAAAATGAATATTTTTTTTTTATGACTAGGAGGTTCTGAGCTCGTATGCCCGTACATCCCCCCAGGGCGAGGCCCGAACCATGTAATATAACTCCCCTATGGAGAGCAGACCCCTCCCAACGTGAATCGAACCCGTGACCTCTTTTTTTCTTCTCAAAAAATGAATATTTTTCTTATTTATTTAAAACTAGTTTCTCCTTTTATCTTCAATCTCTGAATTTTTGTTTAGTCTCATATATGTCGTCTTCTGTATTTTTTTTAGTCTTTTTTATCAAGTTTGTTGACTATGGAGCAATAATTTTGGGTTTGCTTTAGCCATCAAATAACTTTGGACCCGCAGTGAATGCAAATATACTCTACAAGTGGATTCAAAGTTCTCTGAAGTTTTCGTACATGTTTAGTCATCAGCCTTTGTTGTGTGTAGTGCATATTAAATTGCTCATTTACAAAACGACAATTGATGATTATCAAGATATCATACTGTAGATGGAATGTTAACGACGTCTCTGTATATTTTGCTCGCAACGGTAAAATTAAATAGTAAATTTGTTTGTTTGTTTAGTTGAGGTACAGTTTCTCCCAAACAACTCAAAAAAAAAAACAAACTTACTCGATCGATTAGTATAAATATGATACAAATAACACAATTAACAAAATGATACTAGTGAAATGAACCAGCTAAAAATTGTGGGGGTTTCTACTTGTATATACACTAATCGCGTTTAGTATTAATAAATCAATCAACATCATTACAGATCAATTCTTAGCCTCAAAAACAAAGATCCAAAACAACATGACGAAATTGACTTCCATATCGTGTCCTTTCCCGTCGACATAAACACTTTAATATATAGATGCATATATATTACAGTCATTATTTGTGTCATTAGTATTATTATTTTTTAGATACTTGGAGCTAATGACAAAAATATTAATTATTCGAGCGAGAAATATCTTCTCCAACAATTGCGTCATCATCATTTATTTTTATTCGAAATTTCAGTCAACAACACTAATCTCTTTCACCAAAATCTTTGGACTATTGTTACAAATGAATAATTTTTCCTTAAAAAACTTGGACCCTTATAAGTATTTGTTTTATTAAATCTACACAACTGTTATTGAAAATGATATTTATAAAAACCAATAATTAATCCCAATTAAGGTAGGCTCTAGACGATTGCATCATTTGCCCACCCATGTTAAGTCTGATTATAGGGTGAAAGATGAGGGGAAGTTACAAACTTACAGTTACTATTAACATTAACATGTATAAATAATACGCAATATAACCCGTCGTAGTCACCTATTGTGATAAATAATATAGCAAATCGAAGATCTCTCAAGAATGATTACAAATCTATCTTTTTGAAGTTCAAAAATCTAATTGATTTGAAATTTTTAGAAATAAAGGGTTAAATTACAAAAAAAAAATGGCTACTTGGAGGATTTGTTTTTGCAGAAAATCCTACTAAAAAAAAAAAATCAATGCATCAATAAATTTAATTATTTACATTTAAGATTAATTCAATAAAAAAATTCAAAGCAGAAAAGTGTAACCGAAAGAGTGACATTAAATTCATTTAATACTATAATACTAATATGATAATATTTACTGTAAATTTAAAACAGCTTTAAAAAGAAGACTTAAATAATAAATATTTGGTAACTCATAAGTCATAACTCATGTTACCAATGATACCCATAGAAAAAAAGAACAACCCATTAACCCATATAAAATCTTGCATCTCTAAACCGCAGCATTGATAAGAGTCTCTTTCGTCTTGACTAGTATCTCTTAATTAACCCACAGAATAAATTTACAAGTGACCGTCTCAAAAAACTTCCTTATAAGTCCTTTCAAGCTTCTTCATCATTCATCACCAATCTCTCTTTCATATTGGTATGTTGTATATACTCAATATGAAATCATTCTTCTTCTGTATATACTCATGGGATCCAAACTTAAACTCCTAAATCCCTCACCCGTTTTTCTTACAGCCAGAGTCCTTACCAATCGGCCCCTACGATGGAAGAAGAACAACAACAACTTCGAGTTCTGTTCGGAAAATACGAGATGGGAAGGTTACTAGGCAAAGGAACATTCGCAAAAGTCTATTACGGCAAAGAGATAACCACCGGAGAAAGTGTTGCAATCAAAATCATCAACAAAGATCAAGTCATCAAACGTGAAGGTATGATGGAACAAATCAAACGAGAGATCTCAATCATGAGACTTGTTCGTCATCCAAACATCGTCGAATTAAAAGAAGTCATGGCAACAAAAACAAAGATCTTCTTCATCATGGAACACGTTAAAGGCGGTGAACTTTTCTCCAAGATCGTTAAAGGAAAGCTTAAAGAAGACTCTGCTCGTAAGTACTTCCAACAATTAATCTCAGCCGTTGATTTTTGTCATAGTAGAGGCGTTTCTCACCGAGATCTAAAACCGGAGAATCTCTTGGTCGACGAGAACGGTGATCTTAAGGTTTCCGATTTCGGTCTCTCTGCTTTACCTGAACAGATTTTACAAGACGGTTTGCTACATACTCAGTGTGGAACTCCGGCGTATGTTGCGCCGGAGGTTTTAAGGAAGAAAGGTTACGACGGAGCTAAAGCTGATATTTGGTCTTGTGGTGTGATCTTGTACGTACTTCTCGCCGGTTTTTTACCGTTTCAAGATGAGAACCTAATGAAAATGTATCGGAAGATCTTCAAATCGGAGTTTGAGTCTCCGCCGTGGTTTTCACCGGAGTCCAAGAGATTGATTTCGAAGCTTTTAGTTGTTGATCCGAATAAACGGATCTCGATACCAGCGATTATGAGAACACCGTGGTTTCGTAAAAACTTCAACTCTCCGATCGCTTTCAAGATCGATGAGCTCGAGAACCAAAACGTAGAAGAAGAATCAACAACAACAACAACAACAACAACAACACCGGTCTCGCCGAAGTTCTTTAACGCGTTTGAATTCATTTCCTCGATGTCATCAGGATTTGATTTGTCGAGTTTGTTCGAGAGCAAGAGGAAGCTGAGCTCTATGTTTACGTCACGGTGTTCGGCGTCGGAGATAATGGCGAAGCTTGAAAGGATAGGGAAAGAGATGAACATGAAGGTGAAGAGGACTAAAGATTTTAAAGTGAAGATGTTGGGGGAAACGGAAGGGAGGAAAGGACAGATCGCGGTGACGGCGGAGGTTTTCGAGGTTGCGCCGGAGGTAGCGGTCGTTGAGTTATGTAAATCGGCGGGAGATACTTTGGAGTATAATAGGTTATATGAAGAACAAGTCCGACCGGCGTTGGAGGAGATAGTTTGGTCGTGGCACGGTGATAATCATAATAACAATATTGTTAGTAATAAGAATAATACTGTTAATTATGTTAGTGATGATAATTCTGGTAGTGACTGTTAAGAGAATGTAATGATAGTTATGTAAATTAAACTGTTTATTTTTGTTAATCAGTTTTTAGATTCAAGGAAGTTTTTGTAAATTGTGTATATAGATGTTGAGGTTTATTATTATTCTCTTTGAGCAATTTATTTTGATCATTTAGATTATTTACTAAAAGTAGATATTGTTTCGCTTTATGCGTCACGATGATGAAATTTGTTAGAATCCGATTTATGGCCTAATCTCGCTCATGTTAGGTAACGGTAGATTTTTGGATCGAACTGATAAGAATTATTTACGCGATAAGTGTATTATGTCGTCTTCGAAAAAGTTTTAAAAGATGTTAATCACTTTTTTTACCTGGATACTAGATGTTTTAGTTCCGGGAGCCCCGGAGCCATTACCAAACATGTACAAGTATGTAGGACATTTTACGCTTAGCTGACCAACCATTAATTGTAATTGCATAAAAACATACATTCATTGTTGTCATGCCATCCATGCTTTTTTCGACAATTATACCGTGTTACATAAACTATTTGATCATGCATATATATCCGCCAAAAGATATTATATTAATCGATCGTCTGTTCTACGGACGAACCAAATCAACCATTCAACAAGTCGGTCTACAAATCGAGATAAAATATTCTCCAGTCTATACATACCATTTTAGCACATTTAGTATAAAAAAGTGGACTAATAGAGGTTAACTAATAAAAGTTCGCTATTGAAAAATTGTCATCTTGTACTCATATCTCACACCCATACCACATATAAGCCAGTACAAAACCTTACACCATCTCTTTAATCTTCCGAATATACTAATTCTCCCTCTAGGAAAAAAAACACACATTGTTGGAACATGTGTTAACGTTAATAACAAGAACCACTTGAAAGATATATTTTCTTAATAAGTTTTAATATAGAATGATTACTAATAAACTATTATCCTTAGAAGATAATTTGTCAGTTTAGCTACAGATTAGTGACATATACCTGTTTGACAAGTGGCCACGATAACGTTGCTTGCGTGATAGAGAAAAAAGTAACGGACAAAACTTGTAACATAATTGGAGAGCTTTGAGAAGAACAGGGCACGTGTTCGTGTCGTATGGATTCTGAAACGACCCAGCTTTTCTCGTTTCCAAAGTCACAAAACAATTAAAGAGTAATTTACTAAGGACAAAGACACGACAAAAGGCTAATTTAAGTTTTAAAACCGCCTTCTTCTAATTTAATTACAGGAAGATATTCATTGTGAAACTTCGACGAGTCCGTGTTTTAGTTGTCGTTGCATTAATGTTGAGATATGTATATGTCAAATTACAAGTATTTTGTTCACAGATATTTCCAGCACAGATATTTCCGGCACAGATATTTCATTTTCTTCCAACAGCTGGATTATTCAAAAAGGATTATAACTTGGAAGAATTTTTCAAATTACCAAAAAGTAGTAATAATGAATAAAGTGATACTATAATATATAAAGATTAACAGGTAACCATTTAAAATTAGAGAATATACATAAAATAGCCAAAATTTTTAGGATAATTAACAAACTAACCATATGCTACAGTAACTTGTCGGAACTATGTCTGAGAGCTTGCATAATTACGTAAATGTCTTTTGTAACACGTTTTTTTCTCGAATTACATGTAATAGCATACTATATCTCTTTTTATTATGTATTTTTCTCGTATTACACGTTATTTATAAAGAACATATGGTATTTCATGAAAAAACATTCTATTCAGTTTGATATCTCTCTTTATCATGTTATTTTGTAATAATACACGTTTTTTTATTCATATCACATGTGATTTCTTTAATAAAAAAATGATTATTTTTTAGTATTACATCATTTTTATTAAAATTACATGTGATTTCTTTTAAAAAAGATTCTATTCAGATTAAATTTTCCATAACAATGTTTTGCTTAAAAAAACACTACGTAACAATGTTTTTTCCTTAAAAAATCAATATGTTTTTGAAATATCATGTCTTTTAGTTAAATATAACATGTGAAATTTAAATGGTACATGCTATTTTGAAAAATCTCACGAAACTGTATCACATATCGTTGATCTTGCAACAAACAAAAGATAGTTTTAGTATTTCACTTCTTCTGACAACATGGGTACATAGCTATTTTGTAACAAAAACATTCTCTCTGCCATTTTCTTAATTTAAGTGTTTTTGTTTGGCTATTCATTAATATTACTCTTAAAATTACAAGTAGACAAATTTACCTCTAAAGTTATAAGCAGACAATACTGCAGATAGACATAAAATATTCGTTCTTTGTATTGTAAAATAAAAACATAAATTCGTACTAAAAGAAAATAGAATTCTACCGAAAAATAGTATTTCACACCTTGAATACCACTGTCTAAAATGATTTTATCTTATCACATAAGTTCTTCGAATGTTATGCTACAATTGTAAGTTTGAAAAATAGAACTAAATATGTATTACTCGAAACTGATAACAAACAAAACATTAAATCTTGATACCAGTTAAAAATTATTGATGACTCAAAAAGTTAACCCTATCATGTAAATATTGCTGTCACAGAAATTCATAACCATGCATGGGCATAAATCACAAATTAAAAAGGGGAAATGAGTAGATAGGAAAAACTTTAGATAGAAACAAAAAGAGAAAGATAATGTTTGTAGGTCCTATTAAATTCGTGCATTATTTAGCCTAGGATGCGTAGAATGTATTATGTCGGTCGAGCTGAAATGGATGGAATCTGCACCCACATTATCACTGGGCCACCAAACTCTATCCGAATAACATGGTTATTTTCAGCCAAACAACGATAATATTCTTACATCAAAACAAAACCCACAAATCAACTCTATGTATAGGCTAATCCCTATAGGATTAAAATATTTAACATTGTCTAATCTGTAAAAGGTCATTACATCATCCAGAGAAAAGTGGACTCAAGGATTTGGTCCTGACTTTTTAGTGTCCAAGCTAAGTCTAGTCCGATCCGATTCCATGCATCATGTTGTTGTGCGCTGATTTCCGATTAATTGTATCATTTACAAAAAAGTAACACACGGGTTTTAAGAGTTTTGATCCGCGGGTTTGATCATGGACCTAATCAAACCAAAATCTAAAAAACAAAATTCCCAAAAACACGAGAAAAGGACGAAGTCACTTCCTTCTAGACTGAACAAACCTATATTGAAACGGTCCACAAAGTTTTGGTGCTATCCTAGATTCTAACCGGTGGGTGTGGGGAAGGGTGTGGTGTCAGACCAAGGGATAGTGACATATAACAGATGCAATATAATAAAGTAATTATACCCAATAACAACAAAAATGGATTGTGAATTTAGAAAATAGTAAAGAGAGCAAGCAAAATACTCTTTGGTTAATTGTTGCACGATTTTAAACGATTTTGCATTTTCTATAATTGGTATGAAATAGATGAAACTTTTTTTAGTAACATGTTATTTTCTAATGTGAATATCTAACTTATTAAATATAAATTAATATCTATTCTGATTCATTGTTATTAACCAAAGACAAAGTAGACACCCATCAATTGTATTGTAATTGATGGCAAAAAAAAAAAAAAACAATTGTATTGTAATCTGTCTTCCACTTTACTTATGCCACCATCTCTACTAATAAAGATAGAAGTCAATCAGTGAGGGGTTCCACTTTGGCACAACCTAACTGATTACCCATCTTATGTTGGCCCCAGTACATGTCCAACTCCAACGACCTTCCTTCGGCCCTACTCCAACCAAATTCCTACACTAATGCTCCTTTCAAAATTCTTTTATTCTACTAAATAATATCCTTAAGTAACCATAGTCACAGATCCTTTATCATTGTGTATAACCGAGTCGAAAAGTGAGAAACAATCAAGAAGGCCACGCCATCAAAAAAAAAAATTAGAAGGCCAATATAGTGAGAAACAATTAGGAAGGGCAATATAATATTTTGACTCAATATAACAAAAGTTATAGACACATATCCGTTAGATCCGTTTTGATTTGATTCGAAAAATCTAGATATTCATAATTCGTAAAAATTCTCATGATAAAATGTAGTATTAGTTAAGTGAATTTTTTTTACAAATACCAGTTTTAGAAAGCCTGGATATATGCGGGAAAACCAAACCAAGAATGGTTTATGCTCAAATGAGCTTATTAACATATAAATCTAAGATTGAAAATAAGATAGCTTATTGGAGCTTTATTAGGTGCAAGAATAAAGAAAGGAAGAAGTTTTAGGTTGTCACTAACATCAAAATTATTCAAGATTGATACTTTGATCAAGATGAAGAAGGAGAGTTGTTTTGAGACAACTCCCAAAGTTAATACCTTGATGTTCATTACAAGAGATTATATATGGGAAAAATGTCGTTAAAATCCTCAACTTATTCAAAACGTTGATTTAAATCCTCAACTCATGACAAAACGAAATAAATATCAAACTTATGTTGACTTTCCAAATAAATATCAATCTTCCGTTGACCTGGCCATATTAGGTACGACGTTAAGTGGGTTAATAGATCTCGTTAACGGAGTTAATTTTCTGTTAACATACATGTTAATTGATAACGACATCGTTTCATATAACAACAAAACGACGTCGTTTTGTCGTAACGATTGAATTAAACCCCTAAAGTCAATCTTAGATCCCCAAATCGAGCAAAATCCCTAACCCTAAATCTTTATATGATTTGAAACTCGGGATTTTATTGAGCAGTTACGACAAAACAACGTCGTTTTATGTTTAGAAGGAATACTGTCATTTTTAATTAGCGGGTCTGTTAACAGAAAATTAATCCCGTTAACATGGTCTGTTAACTCACTTAACGTCATGCCTAATATGACCAAGTCAATGAAAGTTTGGTGTTTATTTGGAAAGTTAACATAAGTTTAATATTTATTTGGAAAGTCAACATAAGTTTGTTATTTATTTCGTTTCGTCGTGAGTTGAGGATTTAAATCAACGTTTTGAATAAGTTGGGGATTTTAATGGCATTTTTCCCGATTATATATATGAACCTCCTAAGACCTAATTACATGGGCTTGTGTTGGGCTTCTCCAATGTCATAACTTCATAATCTTGGTCTTGTTATGAATGTTTTAACAATATATAGGCACTAAAAATAGTTTACTATCATAAAACTGTAATGTTTATTTAATTTTATAT